GATAAATACTCTCTTCCTCTGCTGCACGTCTAGTAGAAGGCTGGAAGTGCATTCCAGGCTTCCCCTCCCCGGGACTTGTTGCCAGCTGCAGGCTGTGGAAGCCAGGGCTGTCCCTCCTCCTTGACACTGTCCCCTTTCCTTCCCCGAGACAGCTTTCCAGCGGGAGCTGCCTCTTCTGAGCCTTCTCTCAGCCTCCTGGTTTTCAGCGAGCCAAGAAAAGGCCAGTGTGATGGTTGACACTGATTGTTAGCTTGACAGTCACCCAGGAGACAAACCTCTGGCCATGTCACTGAGGGGGTTTCTAGGATGGGCTAATTGTGGTGGGGAGACACTATCCCATGGGCTAGGGTCCTAGACTGAATAAAAATGAGAAAAGCAACAAAGCACTAGCATTCCCTTCCCTGTGTCCCGCCTGCGGATGCAAGGTGAACTTGAACTCCTACCACCATGAATTCCCTGCCAGGATGGACTGCACCCTCAACCATCAGCCAAAACAGTGGCTTTGTCATGAATTTTGTCATAGCAACAAAAAGATGGGTAAGACAACAAAAGATAGGTAGACAACAAGGGGCAGACGAGAGGCTCGCTCCACATCAGAGGAGAGTGACGTGCCCTGAACAGAACCTCCTGCTCCATCCAAGACTGCCCATCTTGTAAATAATTCAAAAATAAGAATTAAAGGAATAAAATAAACTGAAAGAAAGGCAGAATGGAAGAAACGACACCTAAGTGCAGGAGCCTGGAGACAACACAGACTATAGACACAGCATAGGCACCAGGGGCGGGATGGAGTCAGGAGCAGGAGAGAAAGAGGCTTGATCAAAGACCACCAGGGAAGGCAATATTGGGCAAGGAAATGCGTGCTGCAGAGTGACAAGCCACAGACTGGCCTCACTAGAGCTACAAACAGAAGAGAACCAAGTCCACGCATGGAGAAGAGCTGCCCCTCAAGACTCACGTTGGGTCCCTGGAGGAAGTGACCAGATGGGGGGCCAACACGATCCCAGCCTTCACCTCTCGAAACTTTCAACTCAATAGCTGACATTTGGCTTCACCAGGAAGGATATTACAGACTTCGTAGATGAACCAAGTCAAGGAGAGGGGCACTGAGCACCCTGAGCGCCAGACGCCAGATCTGGGCAAAGTCAAAGAGGGGAGGGGGACAAACGTGTGTTTAACATCTGTCTCTACTGAACTCTAAAGCAGCCGCCCTCACCTGATGGAGGAGGGTCTTCTGTTTATGTGTTACTTTCATTGGTTAATATCCTCCACCACTCACCCTTCCTGATGCTGTAGCCCTTTAATGCAGGTCCTCATAAGATTGTGATCCCCGATCAAAAAGTTATTTTCGTTGCTACTTCGTTAACTAGAATTTTTGCTACTGTTACAGTTACAGATCGTAATGTAAATATCTGATTTGCAGGAGATCTGATGTGCAGCCTGGGGGGTTCAAGACCCACAGGCTGAGAAGCCCTCCTCTAGCAGGAAGGAAGGAGATGAGTTTCACACTGTCCAATACACTACAGCCTGCCAAGTTCTCATAACTGTGCCTAGGGCCTCGTACATCCATTATACAACACAGGTAACCACTGTCTTCCTCCAACCTCCTCTGTAAAAGAGCTACTGTATTCCACTGGAGGGGAGGGATCACTATTTACCTTGCTCATGGTCATGTGGCCTGACGCACTTGGGCAGAGACACCACAGTGGTATAGGTGTGGTGAAGGTAGAGGTGCTTCCTACCTCCTGGCAGGCAGGAGCAGAGAGCCAGGAAGGGACGAATGACAAGACCACCAACCAAAGACCCATCCCCAGTAACTCTCTTCCTCTGCTACATCTAATGTCCTGAAGTTTAAAGAATCTCCCAAAGTAGCAATATCCTAAGCTGGGAAGTAACCTAACATATGAACCTACAAGAGGTATTTCATATTCAAACCATAACACACATGAAATCATGTTACCTAAAAGAAGCTTTTCACAAGCCAGCGAAATGGTTCAGCAGACAGAGGTACTTGCCACTAAACCTGAGGACCTAAATTCAATCCCCAAAACTCAAGTGACGGAAGGAGAAAACAGACTCCATTTTTGCTGGCATGTTGTCATCTGACCTCAACAAACAAGTCATGGCTCATGTGTGTGCATCACACAAACATGAACACATAAACACACAAAACACAGACACCAGACAGAAACACACACTAATTAATCAACTAAATACTTTCTTTTAAATATCAGTGTGAAAATAGCTTTCTAAACCAGGGTTTATGGCACGGACCTGTGATACCAGCTAGTTAGGAGGGTGAGGTGGGAAAAATCCTAAGTTCAAAGTTAGCCTGGGGTTCAGAGGAAGTTCAAGTGAGTTGTCTCAGTCACTCAGTGAGATCCTATTTCAAATTTTAAAAAGAAAACTAGGATACAGCTCACTGGCAGAGTACTTGTCTAACATGTATAAGAACTGAAAACCAAGATCAGTATAGAGTAAGGACATGTACAAAGTCCTGAGTTCAAATCCAGCATAAAAGATGGATAGATGGATAGACAGACAGACAGACAGACAGACAGACAGACAGACAGACATCAAGTACTTTTTCAGGATCCAATGCCCTCGTTCCCCTTCCTTCTTGGTTCTGAAGTCACATCTTACTCGATGCTATGATGTGACTCCCCTCTCCCCAGGGGTTGGCACTGTGAAGGGGTGGAGTGGCAGAACCTTTGGTGTAGTCTGCCTAGAGACACGGGTCACTGGGGGTTATTACATCTGCCTCTGAAGTTGGCCTGAGCCTTCTGCTCCCTTGAGCGGCCCCAGCTGTGCCACCATGCTCTCCGTCTGACTCAGACTGCACAGTGAGCCGACGTAAATCCTGCCTCTCAGCGGCTGCTCTTGTCAGGGATCTTATCTCAGCAACCAGAAAACTATCACACTTGGCCAAATCAGTCGTTTCGATTCCCAGTGCATTACAGGCAAACAAAAAGGAAAAGTTGGTGGTTTGCCCCTTGCTTGGAATGTCCACCTCCTTTGTCTTCTGTCTTTAACTCTCCTTTTCAAAATTATCCCAAAGGAAGATGTCTTCCCTCACTCCCACCCCAATGTAACTGGTTTTGACCTTTCTCTCTAAGCCTTACAACCCTTATGAATGGAAATTCTGCATGTTGGGCACTACATAAGTGTATTTATCACATTTGTGAGCTGGTAAAGACAAGTGCTCAAAACACAATGGATTCTCAGTGAACTGTTAAAGCACCACACGGAAGACATCACAGTACCAGGCACCCTGCTCTAAATTACCGAGTTATCAGCCCTCGTCATCTTCCCTGAAATACATATAACGAAACAAGATGAATCATAGCCTTAAACAGACCCAATCTCCCCCACGGTACCACGGCAACATGCATGAAATCATCGCTCACACCAATGAGAAACTTCTAGAGCGCTGTCTAGCACACAGAAAACTCCAGTTCCTTCCCATCTGCGGAAACCAGTGACAACAATCAGCTAACTTCTCACACCTACCCCACAGTAAAAGTCTATGAGCAGAGTTTGAAAAGCAACCAGTCCACCATGGAGAAAGCCATTTTACGTGTCCTGAGGAGTTAGGTCACCTTCTGTCTTAAGCCAGACGCTAACCATGCTCCACTCTCTGGGAGTTTTTAAAACAACCTTCCCCACAGGGTCCACACAACCTGAAAACGATCTTTCCAAGAACGTTGGAGGTAACAGGATGCAATGACGTCACTGTGAGTAATGTGGTCAGAATATGCTATTAAATGTAACCTTTCACTCCACTCTACCTGGGTCTTTTTAAAAGATATGAAAATAAACAATTAACAAATTTGTTAAATTATTTGTAATTTGTATCCAAATTGTCTAAAATAGCACAATACAAAAACGAAATAATCCTAGAAAACATAATAACGCCAGGGACACCAATGTATACCAAACAAAATGAGGCTCACCACCACCCCCAAATCAAGCCACAGGTTAAATGGGGAAGGGGAATTTCTGAGATTTTGCCACTCATTTGGGGGTCCTCCCCCCAATAACGATATTCTAAGAATAACATGTTGTACAACTTCTGTGAAACCTGCCTCTCCCTCCAGCCCATGCACCTCGCGATGCCCCAAGATCTGCTGGGTGACATATGAGATCCAAAGTGGAGGGATAAAAATAGCCTGGTCCTCAAAAAGGCAGATAGCCACCAGACAGCTGAGTCACTTTGAAGCCCATTTTGACTACCGAGAGGGGCATTTCACCCTGCTCCTGCTTCGCAAGCTTTCACGCAAGCTCACAACCCACCAGGTTGGAAACCTCCACCAGGCTCCCGGGTGGAAGACCAGGATGCCTTTTAACTTCCCCTCCTCCTGCGGGGTCATGATTCGGGAGTGAACTTTTAATAATTCAGATAGCTCACGTCAGTCCAGTGACTCACTTGGAAGGGAGGATTTGAGAAAGGCTTTAGGGAGCCATCATAAGCTAGCGACAGACTCCTTATTTCTGTGGCCCTAGTGGACCACCCGGACCTGACAATGGCCAGAAAGGAATAGGATGGGAAGTAGGAGGAGGCGAGCTCAGAGGCCATCAGCATTGTCCCGCAGTGGGAAACCCTGGGCAAGGAAAAGAGAGACTAAAGAGGCTAGTTGTGCGCGTCGCGGGCTAGGGGACTCTCACCTACCACGTCCCCGCCCTCTGTCACCCGGGAAAGCAGCTCGGAACCCTGAACTAACTCTTTCTGGCCTTCCTCGGTGCTGGAGTTGTGGGCGGGATGCTGATGGCCCGGGGCCCTGGCTGCCCAGCCGCAGGCTAGCAGAGCAAAGGCCCCAGAGGACTTTGTCTTCGGCCGCCGCAGCACGGGGGCTCCCCTTGGTGCCGAGAAGCCAAACCCTGGGCCAGGAGAAACAGCAGGAAGAGATCGAGGTTCCTGGCCCGCAGCTCATCTGGTCCCCTGCCCCGTCACCCATTTCCTAGGCCACCGGCTGCGCGACCACGCCAGGGATCTTCCTTACCGGGGAGTCGTAGGAAAAGGCGCACTCGTTCTTGTAGACACGGTCTCCCGACCTGGGCACGCGGATCGTGGGCATGTGCGGCACCAGCAGCTCGCCCAGGTCCCCTGCAGCCATCTTCCTGCCGCCGCTCGGCACGCTGAACAGGGCGCCCCGGCGCTGCATGGCCGCGGAGCGCAGCGGGCCTGGGAAGGAGCGCAGCGCAGCGGAAGAGCGGGACCCGGGAGCTATTGCCGTGCGGGCTGGAGATCCGCTCCGCCTGGGGCTCAGCTCCAGCAGGGGAGATACGGCCCTTGCCCGGGCGGGCGGGAGAGCGGGCGGGAGCTGCTATTTTTAATCCAATGGCGAGTCGCCGGCCCAGCTGCAGCGTCAGGCGGGGCGCGCGCCAGCCGCAGCGCCGGGGAGGGGGATGCCGAGCCGGTGGGGACGCAGGAATTGGAGTTGGGGAGGTCCGGGGGTCCCCGAGCACGGAGCCCAGCCCGCCGTGGTCAGCACCTCGGGGATGCAATCTCCAGTTATCCAGGACCAGGTCCGGGGAATCCCGCACAAAAAGCGGTGTGCAGCGCGACCTCCCCCTCCATCGAAAAGGGGTGGGTGGGACTCGAGTGTTGCCTAGCTCTCGTGCTCTTCCTTGCTCTCACTTTTTAACATGCAAAGCTCCATAAAAGACACTAGGATCCATCAGGGCCTAGAGAGGGGAAGAGGTATATATTATTTTCTTGTGATAATACAAGGTTTTCTTAGTTGTTGCGAGGGGAGGTGTCTTTTTTTTTTTTCTGGCTTTACAGTATCTCCTGTATGACTCAAGGTCCCCTGTTGAACATTCGGTGGCCTGATTTGAGGATCTATACGCAAAGGTACATAATCCTGCACTTGCTTGTGGATTCTTCAAAATAAAATAATGAATGGGGGAGGGTCTTAATAATGTGCCAATAGAGCCAGCCTACAGTGTGGTTTAGTTCCATTCTTACAGCACAAGTCCTACTTCATTGAGGTTTGCTAACTTCATTCAGCATACTAACATACAACCAGAACATAGCACTTCACCATACCCAGAATCAGCAAATCCAGACAGGATGGTCGTGAACGTTGTTGTTGCTGTCACTGAATTTCCTTTTTCCATATTGCCTTGGAACAAAGAATTAGATACATCTCTTGACTTCCTCGCTATCCAGTAGGATCTGGGTCTGTTCACAAATTGATTATAGAGAGAAGCTTGATTTAAAATGTTCAAAACATAAAGTCCAATAATGGATTGAATACAAATCAAATCAGTGAGATTTGTTTCTTATCGTTGCAGATGATAAAAGATTTATCAAATTAGCCCAGGTTTGAGAAATGCTGTCATACATGTTGGTGGGAACGAAAATTGCAAACACCTGAAAGGTATTTTTGTTTTTATTTTTGTTGTTGTTTGAAACAGACTCTCACTTTGTATCCCAAGCTGATCTTGAACTCCTGGTGATCCTCTTGCCTCAGCCTAATCCATCATCCTCATGTGGTCCCCCAAAGCTGGGATTTCAGGCTTGTGCCATCAGCATTAAACTTCTGGAAGGAAATTTAATGCCACAGATGTTAATTTTATATGCATACACTGTTTTCCCAGCAATCTCCTGTGTGGCATTTATGCCACATTTAAATTCAATCTGGGTAGGCTACTTGTTGGAGCACTGTTTCTAACAGAGGACTGGGAACAAAGAAAAGGCCCATCAATAGGAAGTAGTTTCTGTAAAGTACCTCTGAAAACAATGAAGTCGCTCTGCGCTGTCATCAGTCACAGCACTGATGGAAACAAAATGCAGTTCAGTGTGGGAGAGCCAGGCACGTGTGTCCTGCTGAGCCCTCCTTCCCGTCAGCTCTGCCCGTTCCTGTACACACTTGTGTGCATACCTTTTGGTCCCCAAATATCTCTTAGAAAATATGCAGGCTATACAGTTGTTGAGATGGTGGAGAGGAACAGAAAGCCTGCAGTCACATGGAATGTGTTTACCACCCTGTACTTTTCTATATGGTTCTAATGGTTTTGTTTCCCTTTGCTTGTCTGTGACCCTGGGATTGAACCCAAGAGCCTGTTGCTATTAGTCACGTACTCTGCCACTAAGCTACATCCCCAGCTCCTTTTAAAACTATATATTGAGACAAGGTCTAGCTAAGTTGTCCAGGATGGCCTTGAACTTGCCATTGCCCCATACCCAGTTTCAACATCTTATTAGATACATGCATCACTAACTAAAATCAGACCTCATGATATGGCTCAGCAGATAAAGGTGAATGCTGTTTAAGCCTAGTGACCTGAGGTCAATTCCCGGAACCCATATGAAGGTAGAAACAGAGAATTGACTCTATAAAGCTGTGTTCCGACCTCTCTACATTCAATGAGAGGAGAGAGAAAGATGTTAATAAAAAAATTAACTAAAATTCAATTATAAAAAACATCTTAGGTTCAATAGCCAGTGACAAAAGTTGAAGGCCATTGCTGTATCACTGCAATGTACACCAACCCTTTTTCCTATAACAACAGAGATTGAAATGGTGGACAATAAGTAGGTAGTGTTGCACACATGTAATTGCTTGGAAGCAAAAGATATCAAAAATTCAAGGCTAGCATTAGCTACACAGTGAGTTCCAGGTTAGCCTGAGCAACAAAGAGAATCCATCTCAAAACAAAATAAATCACAGGAAGTGATTGTTGATGGAGGGAGGGCTTGCTTTTCGTGCCGGTCAGTTAGCTTATACCCGAAATAATCACACAGAAATTGTATTAATTAAATCACTGCCTGGCCCATTATCTCTGGCCTCTTATTGGCTAACTCTCAGATCTTGAGTCAACCCATTTCTAATAATCTGTATGTCACCACGAGGTCGTGGCTTATCTGGAAAGATTTAGCATGTATGACCTGGCAGCTCCATGGCGGCTCTCCATCTGTGCCCTTCTTCCCAGCATTCAGTTTTGTCTACTTCGCCTATCTAAGTGCTGCCCTATCAAAAGGCCAAGGCAGTTTTTTAAATTCAACCAATGAAAGCAACACACAGACAGAAGAACCTCCTACACCAAGTGATATTTGCAGAACACACCAAAGTCAAAGAGACTTCCCATAGCAGAAGTTACTAGTCTGGGGACTGTGACAACTTCAGTCCCTATCTATGACCTTCCAGAGAGCTAATGAGTATGTGCCAAGTATGCAAACATAGAAGCATATTCATTTATGTGTAGGAAAATATCATATATGGAAACTGATGCAAACCTATGTGCATAGCAAAAAGCCACTGGCATCCCAGATGATAGCTCTAACCACAGCAAAGGAAAATGGACATCAACTAAACACTGAGAGATAATTAAACTATGTACAACTACTCAAACATGCAAATCTTAAAATGATCATTATGGACTTTGTCTTAATATTTTTACTGTATCTTGGTTAACATGCAATTCTTGTGTAATACTACTGAAAGTCAGTTAAATAGGGCCAGGCATAGTGGCACACACCTCTAATCCCAGCATTTGGGAGGCAGAGGCAGGAGGATCTCTGTGAGTTCAAGTTCAAGGCCAGCCTGGTCTACAGAGTAAGGTCCAGGACAGCCAAGGCTGTTGCACAGAGAAACCCTGTCTTGAAACGCCAAACATGAAAATCAAAATAAATAAATAAATAAAATTCAAAAAGAAAGGAACCTAGGTCAGTTAAACAAACCCATCTTTGATAAACTAGAAAGACAGATTTACGTGGCTCTGTTTGTAAGTTGGTCATAAGATTTTGTTTCTGCTTTCAGTTTGTCTCCAACAAGATCGCAAGTGTTATCCAACATAAAACATTATGAAGACAAAACCTGAGCAAAAGAGACTTTACTGAATTAAGAAAATGTCCTCATCAAGACATTTTAAGGCTGGAGACAGTGACATGTGCATGTAGTCCCATCTACTTGGGAGGCTAAGAAAAGAAGATGTCTGGGTCCAGGAGTTCAAGACCAGCCTGTGCAACACACTCAGTCCAACCAAATGGAAGGGAGGGATGGAGGGAGGGAGGGATAGAGGGAGGGAGGAAGGGAGGAATGAAGGGGGAGAGGGAGGGATGAAGGGGGAGAGGGAGGGAAGGAAGGAAAAAGAGAGAGAAAGTGAGAAAGAGAGAGAAAGGCAGACAGATAGACAGACAGACATAGGAGGAACATCTGGTTCAATTACTGCAAACTTTAACCTTAGTTTTTTAAATCCTAGATATGAGCTCATAACTGGCCTGCTTTATTTCTCTGCACATAGCCCTGAATCAACAAGCGGATTGAAGAAGCAATGACAAATCAACACTTAATTTCTAACAAATCCAATGTCTCATCATTTCAGACTCACTTTTGCCACATCAAAGGACTATGGTCGCAGGCCATTGTGCTTCGGCCCAGATTTCCCCACCACATCCTAGCAGAGCTCAGTTAAGCAGGTAGCATTCTGGGGCCCCTCCCCTGCCCTTCAAAGTCCACCTCACTACCGTATTTCTGAAGATATTAACTGTTCCCTAAGGAGAGATGAAGGGGCGCCAGCTTTAGTTGAACATTCTCTCCTCTCATGTCTTCTTCTTCTTCTTCTTCTTCTTCTTCTTCTTCTTCTTCTTCTTCTTCTTCTTCTTCTTCTTC